AGGTTATATGTTTGGCAATGGGTTTACTGCTTCTTTTTGAAGCAGTCAGGATGTCTTCAGGCTCTGGAGCAAAAATAAATGCTGACTACTCCTTTTGATGCAGAGGAATGTTACAACACAGTCCATTACCAGATGATTAGAGGAGCAGAAATAAACCTTGAGCACGAAGCCGCGGTTCCCTGCTCAAATGACATTAGCCCTATTTATAGACACGGAGTAGGCAGAAAGTAGATGAGGAACCAAAACATTAGGGAAATAATTTTCTCAGGCACCACCAGGCAATGACAGAATTATCTCAGTAGTATTTAGCTTTTGATATTGAAAAGCAGGAAAGTGTGTGAAGGGCTCTGGGACAGCCTCACCAGGCTCCCTGCGCTCCCAAGGAGGAGCACCACGGCGTGGAGGCAGCTGTGGAAAGGCTGAACAGGCTGAGGTGGACAAAGGTCTGAACAGAATGTGCAGTGTCTGCGTTTCCAGGGAAGTGGCTGAAATTAATGACATCCTTTGTGATATTTTTAGGCTTTCTCCAATCTCTTACTATGGTGGGCCGAATGATGAGCAGAGTAGAAATGTTCGTGATGGGAGAGTGCCAACATCCAGAGCTGGCAGATGCTATAACTGGAAACATTGAAAGGTTGATGGATGGCATAAGATTTTAAAAGATTTGAAATTTCTGAATGAATGTATGGCAAGTCAGACACACTGAAGGGGAAGCAAGTGATTTTATTTACTGACTCCATTCAAATGACATAAAACACTGTCCTTGGAGGAGGCAAGACCCCCACTTCCACTGTAGTCACACACTTGCAGAATAGAAATTATATAAAAATTGATGGATTTACACCAAAGATGTAAATATTTTGTATAAAAAATTACATTTAGGCCTCAGAGGGACTGACTGGGATTTGTAGTGAATTGCCATCAAATGCTTTATCAGGAGGGGTCATGAGACATACAGCAGGTTATGCTATTACACAAACTCTGAACCAGTATTCTGGGTTTTTGGTAGAGAGAGAGTTTTTACATGTTAGCTCAGACAATTTATCAGGCTGAACCTGTTTTCCTACAAAAATGTTACAATAAGAGCAAGACTACTTTAGAAGTTGCTCTCTTTTCTTCTGAAATTACATGAAACTCTTTGCTTGAAAGGTATAACATGGAATAGGTAATTTGAAATCTATTTTCTTCACTTTCAGTGGTACTATTCAGGATTTATGTAGACTTAAGTGACGATAATCTGCAGCCTGGCCATAGCATCTATTTTACACAGCTATAGAGGAATTGGCCTTTCTCAGGAATTCTTGTTGCTACAAAGAATAAGACCCCCCAACCAAAGCCAGGATCTCTGCAGGGAAAAGAAAAAAAAAATTGAAGAGAGAAGGGGGAAAGAGTCAGATCATTCATTTCAAGAAGAGAAATTAATTCATTGAAAGAAAGAGGTTTAGTTCTAGAAGTAGTGAAAATGTGCAATGAATCATCATAAAACTGAACAGGAAACTACTACGAGAATGGCACATGCAGAATGAAGCTGGAAAATTAAAGCCAGACTGAGAATTCAAACTCCGAGATCTCACCAAGGTAGTAAACACAGGAGTAATTTGCCAAGTAAAGTTGTCAGGGGAGGAAAGGTTGGATAACTTGTGGGGAAGACAGATGTTCTATACTTGAGAGAGTGGATTTAAGGTTTTGCTGGCACTTCAGGAACACAGAGAAGAGATAAACGTAAAAGGCTTGTTGGACTTGGGAGATTTTTCCTTTTCCTGTCCAGCAATGCCTGTTCAACTCCTGCCTCTGTTGTGCTGTTCCAAAGACAAGCACAGGTCGAGGGAGGACAGTTCAGTCAGGCAGGAGAGCACAGCCAAAGGAGGTTGCAGTGTAAACTCACTGAAAGTAAAAGAAGAAAGCAAGTTGTGTTAGAGAGGAGTTGGAATTGATTTGTCAATTTGTCAATTGTGCTGCAATTAGATGCAATTAAAGATGCAGCATATAAAAATGTCAATAGCTAAAACCTGTCACCTGGAGAGTTTCTTTCCAAGACTAGGGACAGGGAAGGAGCTTTCCCCCCACCTTCCTATGGCAGTTCCTAAAAATGTTTTTAATGAGGGGTAAAAAAGGGTTATGGACAGAGTGAAAGATGCTCAGGCAGATAATTGCATTCCTTATAAACCCATTAACTGAAAGCTGGAGAGAGGTGGAAGGCAGATAACAGCAATGGCCATGTCCTATGACAGGTAGGAGAGGAAGAAGAAAGGGAATACCGAGGGGAATTTTCCAGAATAAACCCTGTGATCCTGGTGTGTGGGAATGTGCTGAATTCAGCACCAAAAGCAAAGCATCAAAGTCTGTCCCAGCAGCTTTCTGTGCCATGGGGGAAGGCAAGGAGTCCAAGGAGGTATAAATCCCATGGGGAAGCCAAGAGCAGTGCTGAAGGAAGCTGCTGAACCTGTCAGGACAAGCCAGCTATCACAAGCTTTGAACTCTGCAGATCCCTAAAGGTGAATAAGTCAAAGGTATCATGTAATGGTGGTCATGATGAACCATCACAAAAAGATATTTAGGTCAAATGGAACAGAAAAAGAACTTTCTTCATTTTCTTTTTATTTGTTTGTTTTTGTTTCTTAAGGAAAGTTCTTGTATGCAGTGACTCCCTAGTGAAAGGGAAAACTGAAGGGTCACCTGCACTACCTGATGAGGCAATCAACATTGTCCCCAAACTACAAATTTAACCTATTTCAAGGTGTCTGAAACCCTAGAGAGCTATCATCTCTAAATAAACCCTAAAGAGCAGTTTCCATACAGCCCCATGACCAGAAGCTGGTATTTTACAGTAACTTGCTCAATTTTTATTTTCACTTCATATATATATTTTTCCCCCCACAGAGAAAACAACCATATCCTTTAGACTCCCAACAGTCTTCTTTATTTCGCTTTTCTGGACTGCAGACCAGGACCAATTTTTCAGATTCTATTTAATTCTTTTGGGGATCTAACTACAACTTTCAGTACTGATCACTTCAAGCCTATGAGCCCCTTCACACTTGTTCTGTGAAATGGACATTTTATGTCCATCTGGTTGTTCGGTGCAGAAGAAGCTATAAAAGGTGCAAACATTCTCTGAGATACCAAATTTTACATTTTAATTTTAGTTTTACCCTCATGGAAACTCAGGACCACAGGCTGGGGATCTCATTTGGCTGCTCCTTTTCCAGTTAAAGCTCTCACTACCAAGACTTACTCGAATAAGTCAAATAAGACTTGAAGCTCCAGGATTCTGTTTATTTCCAGATCTCCTCTCTACCTATTTTCTCATCCATCCCTAAATACTATGGGAAGAGTCATATTTATTTCTTGCTGTTCTTGGTGTCTTATTCAGATTCCTGCTTAGATTTCTCAGCCCACAAATCAATTTTAAATCTCTGTCTCAAAGGACCAACAAATCTACTATTTTGTGCATTCTGGCTCTCATTTCTCCTCATGGGCTTTCTTGCTATTTTCACTCCATTTTATACTTCTCATCAAACCTGTTCCCATCCTGTCCTCCTTTTTGCCTCTTTTCCAGGTTTCTCTCCTCATTCTCTGCTCATTTTGAATAAGTATCTCCTTGTAACACACTTCTTTCAGCAAAGCTTTCAATGATTGTCCCACCCACATGCCTTAGCCAAAGCCCAGTTGAAGACTGTGGAAAGCTTTTAGTGAACTTTGGATCATGCATTAGAAGTGGTGGTCCCTGAGGCTGCCTTTGTGTTCCAGTCTGTGCAATAAACTTCAGGAATATTTTGTGAATCTAAGTTAGTTTTCTTCCTGAAAACTAAATTTTTGGAATGTTTAAAGTACACCCACTATTTAACTCAATGTAACTGGACATATTTGTTAATTTAATCTGAAAAAGAATAAATCTTGGATAATGTCCAAACCCAGAGATTGTCTAAATAAGGAAAGGATTGAAAAGAAAGGAAAACACCAGGAAAGTAAGGGATTGAGAGCTTCCTGGAGACAAGAAGCAGGTATAGCCAAATGCTGGAGCTGAGGATTATTTAAAATTCCTTTAACCAGTGTACTTCTTCGTGAGATGGATCAAATACTGTTTCTATTAGATGACAGGGGTTCATTTCCTTTCCTTAGATAAACACTTTAAGGTGCCAGACTCCTCTGTGAGATGATAAATGACTTCCTAGACGTCATCATAAAGGAAGTTGTTCCTTATAACTAAATGTTCTAAATCTGTTACATATCAAATTTCTTGTGAATAGCTGCCACTCTGCACTGCTTTCCAAACTGTATTTCACAAATGCACAGTGTGTCTTGTAACACCAAGACACTAATTTTCCAGCTCCATCTTTGGCCCTGTTCTCAAAACACAGGAGGTCATAGATTGGATTTAAAAGTTAGCATAACACATCCTGCCTACCTTGAATTACAAAAAATACACAGTCTAGATGAGTGATTTATGAATTTCTAATTACAGATAGGACTGCTCTGTTTCAGTTTGGCCTGGTGAAGCTGAGAGCAGCTGAAATCTGCTTATTTCAGTGACAGGAAATTCAGGAAGAAGATTATTGCCCTCTTTGTTTTGGAAAATGTGGATTGTTTGGTTTATATGTCCTACTGGAAACAACAATAGAATCTGAGATTGTGCTTGTACTCATGTACTTTCTGATTGCCTGAAAGACCAATGAATATCCTGCCAGGCCTTTTGGGTCTTCACCCATTTCCACTGGCAATAAATTGTTAAAATAAGCCTCTCTTTTTGTGGCACTTGACATTTGAAACCAAGTGCTCATCGTCAGTGCATGTATTGTTATAAAATTAATTTTTCCATTGTCATAAAAGAAAGTCGCAGAGTCATAGAAAAGTAGAGAAATTGTGGCAACTCTATAAGCAGAGGTACAAATACCTGATGTTTGTGGTTGTTCACCACCAGATATTCCTTATGCTGAGATTTAAAACACGTGTCTGAACAACACCTCTTTTGAATTGAATATTTTTATTAATTCCTAGCCTAGAGACATATGAGAGACATTTGTTTCCTTTGAGCCCCAGCCAGTTTTTTTTTCCTGTCACTGGACCTGCGCCTGACAATGTCCTTCTGTGCTCCTTGGGCCAAGATTCAGGTGGACTTCAGGTGCCTCAAATTTCCATCATCAAAAAGTCCTGAAAGACAAACACAATTCACATGACCTTTTCTTTCAACTCTCAAATTATTCCAGTTTTCATAGAGTCCTGTTCTTGGTCTGATTCTGTAATCCCCTCATCAAACATCACAGGTCTTTAAAACTGCTTTCTCGAGTAACATGTTCACATGCAGCTAATTCAAAGTGCTAAGACTTAAACATGTACAGACCTGAGGCACAGAGGCACCCCATGGAAGGCAGAAACTGGAATTACTTGCATTACATAAATGTTGGGAGAATGTTTCAAAATGGCTGGAACAGCAACAACTGTGTGTGGGATGGTGAAAGGAATGGTGAAAAAGCACAAGTCCTTGACATATGTGTTTGTACTGTGGCTTTTGTTTTAGCTTTGGAGATGTTTGGAACGTGGTCATTCCACTGCTTGGCCTTCCAGTGACAAATTTGAAGGTCTTAGAAAATAATAGTTCAAGTTATTCCGGACTAGTGTTTAGTAAGCAACCTTTGAAACACTAAAGATATTAAATCCCAATCTGGTTTGGTCAGGAAAGCCTGAGCACAGTAAAATGTGAGTTAGAGCAGAAAAAAATTGAGCAGTACTGGGATCTACCCCATGCTATTATGCAGATATTAAACAGGAAGGCTGAGAACCACCACTCTGAAATAAAATACTGCAATCAAGGCACTTGTTCTTGCACTGTAGAGACCATATTTTAACATGAGGATACATGCATGGATACATGCAACAGCCCCTAATTTAGCCCAACACAGATGAAACCAACTCCAGCACTTTCATGCATCTCCCACCTCGAGGAGAAGCATTAATTTTTCAGCATATATTATTTCACTAAAGGCTTCACCAGAGAGGAAAAGACAAATACATGATTCATATTCTAAAGAGTGTTATCAACATTTTCATCTACTAGTGAACTCTTGAGAAGTAAATTGCAATTGCATCTATATAAATGCCAGCTTGTATATTATCAGAATAGGGTTTTTAGTTGTTTTGGTGACTTCAATTTCCCCAGCAGAGGAAAGAAAATGATTACCCAGTTCACATGGAAAATGGGCAGCTTCAAAATTTCTTCAGTGGGAATTCAATTCCCTGCAAAAATTCTTAAGCTCAGTTTGTATGGACTGTTTATGACACTGACTTAGCAAAGCTGTGTCTTCAAATCCATATTTTATTGGAGAGAATAAAATACCCATGGCTCAGCATCAGATGGTATAACTGATGGTACAAATGGTAAAACTCATTTTCCAGTGAGTTTGAGGGTCAATTTCTTTGTCCCTGCAGCCACTTTTAGTCTGCAGGACACTGCCAGTACATTCCCAGGAAGAATAAAGGTATTTGAATACAGATATTTGACCTGAGCATAACAGTATCCATCAAGAGTCCTCAGGGAAAGCCTCAATGCTTCAATCACCTGAAGAGATTGGTAGCTGTAAGATTTATTTTCTTGTGGAATCATCACTTGGATGATGAAAGATCAGGAGACAGTTCCAGTGATATGCAATGATTGTAATGATGTTACTGTAGCCAGTAATTATTTCCAGCATTTATCTGTATTCCTTCAGAGCGGTAAGTAGTGTTGGTTTAAAAGTCCTGGCCTCCTTTAGCTTTTACCTGTGAAAAATTCTTTTTTATTCCATCCCTCCTGCTGTACCTCCAGTTAATGCTTCAGCATGTCCCTGAGAAAATCCTGCTTTCCTCCTTCCAGCTTAACGGGGCTGCCACTGCCGCTGTTCTTCATACTGGAGACATCCTCAACATCAGTTTTCACTTGATCTTGATTTTCACATCACTTAGAGAGAAATGTCAAGGCGACTGAGAGTGTGGTCAGGACCACAGGTAGATTCCCCTTTTTCACACTGAATGGGCAGCATTTTAGCATTGCCTTCTCTTTTCTATTTTGATTATAAGCCCCCTGTCAGAGGCAATTTTTCTGGGCTGGGTTAGAAGACTGACTTCTTATCTCTGCAGCTCCTGGGATGAGAGAGTATTAGATGAGGACATTTTCTTATACCATAATAATTCCAGAAGATTTACTTTGATTTGCATGTTTTTAAGATCTGGCTGTCCCCATCAAAGATTCGTCTGGTGATGAATTGTCGCCCTGGGCTGAGTACAGAAAGTGCAGAAGATGCCTTTCCCCAAGAAGCTGGCAAGAACTCTCCCTAATGTGACCTCGCCTGTGAGCCTGGATGTACTCCAGCACAGGGGAGCCCTTTGAATCTAAAATGTATATAAACACAAGCACACAAATCCAGTAGCAATAGAGAGCTGAAAAAATGTCAGGACATCGTCTTTGCAATAATAGCTCCAGAGCAGGACAGTTTCTCGTGGCTGCTCTGCCTAAAATGGGAAGCAGTGAGCAAGAGCAGCCCTTGGAAGGAGGCACCACGACTGGCTGGAGCCTTGGGCTGTGTGATAGAGCACCAGAGATGCTGACACCCATGGGGCAAACAGAGAGGCTGCCTCCTGCTGCATCCCATCTGATATGGCTGGTTTGAAAATATCCTTCATTTTCAGCATTGGAGATAAGGCTTCTTATTTATGAGAGTGAAAATTCCTCTGGCATCGAGAGGAAGCACCTCGGCGTCTGTTCTGAAAGGCATCGAGGTCTCTCTCAGTGCCCTGAGAGGGATAAAAGACAAACATCTGCTAAGTTTTTGCCATGAGAAATCCATCTGGGCTTGTACCTCCCATTCTTGTGTGCCCACATAGAAAATATTTAAAAAATGCCCACATTTAAGCAGTGCATTTACTCAACACCAAACAGGATGTAAAATAATTACACTTAGAACGATGATAAAGTGTCTGCATTTCCGGGTGGGTTTATTAACTGACAGATCTCCTGCACTGAAAAATGTATCAAATACTTCTCTTTTGAAAAATGGTGTAGATAATGGCTGATATTAGCACTAATTGTACCCTGTGGTGTTTGGGAAAACTCAAAAGTGACTGGAAAAACAGCCAAGAAAAGCTGAGAAATCGCTACAACAATTGATTTAATGAAGTGATAAAGTGTATATAATACTCTCTGCTTGCAAGTGGAAAGACACCTCTGCTGGTTTTGATTTGTTGCCATGAGTAATAAAAGATACAACAGCTAAGGAAATACAAAAGCCATCAAGAATGCATATCTTCATGATCATTTTCCTGAAATTAAGTACCTTGGGAAATGCAGAAGCACTAGGCTCAAAGTTAAAAAAAAAACTTGTACATTGGTTTGGATATTGATGCGTGCAGAAAAAAGAAAGGGAAATTATTTTTCCATACATGGTTATAAACTGCATAATTTAAAATCATTTGACTAAAATCATATATGATGAAAGTTAAAGATGGTGACAAAATTTAAGCACCAGACACTAAAACCCAGGAACATTTACAGAAATTGATTTATTTATTTCCACATGGTAGAGATGAATGACCCCTGGAATTGTAGCTGTACTTCTTGCCTCTTCAGTTTCCCTTTTTTCAAGGCTCACTATTAGTTTCAGAAAAAAGCAAAACCTCAATTCAAACCCCCAAACTTTTAGTTTATGCATGCGATTTTTCTAGCCTAGTTTTGGGGACAGTGCCCTTTTGACTGAATATTATTTGTATTCTTTATTCTCTTTGACTTATTTCTCACAAAGAAGAATTCATAATACTCCTGGAAATAATTTTGCAATGTTCACTTTGCACATTCTGCCACAGAAATAATCACTTTTAATATGTTTTTATGCATCTTCCTTTGCTTTTTCTCACACCCTAAAACCTCACAGTAGGCCCTGCCACTATGCCAGAAAAAGCAGTTGCAGCATTTTTAGCCATTAATTTTTTGGCTCATTCAAGTCCTTATGTAAAATTCCTATTTCTAGGAATTTCATCCAAAAGTGCATATGTCTGAATGGTAATTAAATATTAATACTGGGAAAAGGAAGACTGTTCTTTCTTCTTCCTCATTTATAGTCCTTTTTTGATTTACTGCTTTCTGTTGACCCAAATGTAAATAGTGTCATAGCAAATAAGTGTTTAGTGTCTGTGAAGTTTATTCTATTTGGGTTCTTAAGCCTGAGTTATAATGCATATAAATTAGTGGTCAGTGAGTGTTCTTTAATTATCTGGAAGCCTTGTCATTGACAAAGTGACCTGTGCTGGCTTTCTTGCCAGGAGGAATTGAAGTTGTTATGTTAAAGTCTGGACAATTTGATGTAAATATTTACCCACTCAATAAAGAGGTGCTAAAGCTAATTCAGCCTCAAGATGTTAACTCCTGAAGATAACACAAGTCCCCATGGGAAGCCAACTTCAAGTTCCACAGGGAAGCTTCAGATCCTGGTGTAGTAAATGAAAAGATGCTCGAACAAGGTGATGATATGGAGAAATTCGGGCTTGACCATGAATATGCCTGGGAAAAATGATCTGCAGACGAAGAAGGATCCTCCTCTCTGTGCTTCCCTCACAATGCCCATCACTGTGTTTTATCTGGATTTTTTAGTTCGGAGTGAAGGTCAATGCAAAGACGTAGATCTTGATACCCCACCGCCCATCTGAGATGCTCCAAAGTATACAGCCTGTTTTCTGCCTGGAGCCCCAGAAGTGTCCTGCAAGGACTGCAGCATGTGGGTATCTTAGCTAGGCTGGGGTGTCTCACAGGACATGAGGCAGAGGTGTGTGAGCAGCTGAACCAGGTCCTCACTCTCAGCAGGTCAGAACAGTGACCACTGGCCCAAGAGCTGCAGTTTTGGTCAGTTTGGAGAATTTCTGTCAAAATTAGGGTAGCACAGAAATGGTGATTTTTGCTTTAGAGGTTTGGTTCTGTATCCCTCCTCTGAGGGACGATCTGACACAGCATTTGATAGGATGAATGCTTTTCAGAACCTTCTTTTTCCTTCTGAGGGTTTGACAGAGTTTGATGCTCAGGACAATACTGGATCCATTGGCTTCATACTGCTCAGACAGCTTGTCTGGTTATCAATCACCTGTGACCACTGGAATAACCCAGATCTGATCTGTCCCACACTGTCAGTGCTTAACAAGCAAACTTCTGCATAGGAAAGGGCTTTGTGGCCTGTGGACAGTAAGACATCTATTCCTGGGCTCCCTGCCCATTCCCTCCTAACCCAGGAGTCACCCAGCTGTGCCCTTTGGACCTGCCTCAGGCAGTTCCTGGGCTCTGCAGCACAGCACGGAGCCCTCCAGCACTTGCAGGTCCACTGGGCCGCTGCTGGATGAGGTTCTTTGAACTTACACCATGAGATTGACTCCCAGGGCCATCCTCTGCATCATCCCAGACAGATCTGCTCCCTCAGAGGCAGAAGCCCTGCAAAGTCAGGGTCATCCTGTCCCTCAGGGAAAGGGGACAGCTGCTGCCTTTGGATCCCCTCTGTTATTTGGCTCCTCTGGTCAGTGAACTCCACAGAGATGCGGCTGTTAAGCACGACCAGAAATCATTTCCTGCAAACACAGTGCGAAGGATTTCTGCTTGCTCCACGTTGGTGTCCCTCTGCCACCTCCACGTGATGGTTGAACTTCACATGCAGAATAAGAGCACCACAGGGCTTGCCAGGACGGGAGTTTCTGAGGAGACATGGTAGGAAATGCAGCATATCCCACCTGGCATTGCCTTCCAGGGTGCTTTGTGACTCGTCAGTACATTACAGAGTTCAGGTCACCCAGGCTGAGGGTGGGGTGCCCTCAGAAAGGCTGCAGAGCCCCACACGGACAGGACTGACCTTGGCTGACTCCTCTGGGGACTCTCAGGGTGTCTGTCAGGACAGAACAGAGCCAGCTGCTGCTGGGAAAAGCCTAAGAGGACACTGGAGAGGTAACCCTTAATGTCATTAGACACTAAGCAGGGATGAACTCACACCTTCCTTTAAAAGCACTGGCTTGTCCTCAAAGCTCTCTCTCTCTTTCTTTTTTTCTTTTTTTTTTTTCCCAATAAAGAAAGCAGGGAACAGAGAAATTAATTTTGCCTCCACTAAAGTACAAAATTTATCTGTGTATTTGCCATCTGATGCAGATCAAGGACCAACACTGTCAACATTATAAGGAGAGGATATTTTCTCCTCGCTTTCAGGACAAAATATAGACAGAATTAAAACAGATCTGCTGAGCTTAAGTTGTTTTCATCTTCTTCCAGGAGAGGAATACCCCAGTTTCCAATTTCATCTTCGTAAACCAATGATACTTGCAGAGAATTATAGTGAGCCTTTTCCTAGGATTTTTCCTAGAATCCAGTAGTAACTTGAAAAAGAAATGACCTGACAATGCCTATGTATACACATGTTTGGAATGCCAGGAACTGCTCTGCATGGATTTAAAACCTCTCAGACAACAAAGTGACTGGCTTCATACACCCCAGAACTGCCACTTGCTGGTCATACAATGCAGAAGTGTCTGCTCAAATTCCAGGTAAACGCAGCAACAAATAACAATAAAAGAGGAGGGACGGGTTTTTAGCCTATGTTAAGAAAATACACCAGTGCTGTTTGTGATTTGGTTCTTGTTTGTCCTAAAGTGGAAAAATGTACTCAGTAGAAATCTGGGTTTAGGGGTTAATTTTGCTCCTTAGTGAATTTTGTGACGTAAAATTCACCTTTCACAAGACATCAAAATCACAAATTGGCATAACCAGGGGAGAAGTTAATTTCGCTCTGGAGAATCTGGCTCCACATGTCTCAGATTGTCCATTCTGTGACACTTTCTCTCTCCCCTTTCCCTTGCTGTTATCTCCCTTCTGTCTCTTGTGGGCTGCAGAGGGGAAGCCAAAGTCTCCGACCACCCACGGGGCCTCCTCAGCAGCTGTAAAACAAAGGTGCCAAGAGCCAAAAATGCCTTTTCTCCAGCACTGCCATCTCCTGTGGCTGGGCCTTGGGCTGGTATTGGGGACCAGGTCTGATGTCAGCCAGGGAATTTCTTTTAGAATGCAGAAGGAAAACATCCTTGCAGCGCTTCCCTCAGCCTGAGCGTTTCCTCTGGGGAATTTGTTATCCTGTCAGATGTATAAAAAGAGGATCTCTGAGGGGGGGATGGGGGGCGTGTGTGGGTTTTCTCTCGTTCAAGGCCCAAATGACTCGGGTTGAGCATTCTCGGTGCTTTATGGGAAAACAGCCATGGCCCACCTTGGCTTTTATGGGAGAGGAGGAATGTGAATCAAAAATTAAATTCACATAACTTTGTGGGTGGCCTCCCCTGCTATGCAGCATATCTTTGTGTACACTCATGTCTGCCATGACTTTGAGAAAAAGCCCTTTACTTGTATGGCAACAAACTTGTAAGTCAGAGTGTTTACGTTCCTGAGCACTATATCATATTTCCTGACAGAGTTAATGAAACAAATTAGGCAAAACTCCACACAAATTCCTGTGTTCACAGAATACTTTGCAGTATTCTTGCAGCTCCTGGTTTTGATGGTAGCTGAGTGTGTTGAGCTTTATTTTCCATTTGCTAAAAAATCATAAGCTGCCTGGCCTAGTCTTGACATTTTTATCTTGAGGAATGGAGGATTAGGTGAAAATACTCTTTAAAACTACATCCCACTTCTTCCAGCTGCAGTCAGTTTTCAGAGTGACCCAAAGGACTGGTCAGCATCATGGGGACCTGACATGTATTTAAAGTTAGGGAAATGATTTATGATAGGGTACTTTGATCACACATTTTCTTGACTTGGGTCATCAGGCAAACGAATCACTCAATTCCGAAAATGAGAAGGCTGCAAAAGCCTAAATATACAAGTGTTTGCCATGCTGGGTTATTAATGTGGTGTCCTCCACAAAGGATGAGATATCATCAGCTCTTAGAGATGCCAGGGAAATGTGTTCAGCAGAACTCATTCACAGGAAACAGGTCTGCACTTCTTCTCTAATTTGATATTTCTGATCGGTTTTAAAACATTGTTAAAAAACAATGAAGTATCCAGATTTGCAACTAAAGGAAAAGGTTTTTATGAAATACAAGTGGATCTTGATTTTCAAGCTGTTTTTTCATACCCATTAATGCAGCCTTAGATGGGTTACATATTCACTTTTTGAGGCAAGGCACCATGGAAGACATTTCAGCACATAAATGGAAAAATGTTGCTCAGGAGAAATGTCCACATTTACCTAATAATCCATCTGCAGCCAAAACTTTCTTCAGGAAGAGGTCTCAGGAAGTTCCTCCCCCATGAAGTCCTGTTGACTGTAATGGAATGGGCAGATACGAGTAACCAACCCCAGAAAGTAAAGCCACCTCATACTATCAAAATTCATTAGTTTTTCATTTAAGAGTTTCATATGCATGCAAATTTCCTATGGTATAAAAATTTTCCAGATTAAAACTATGTATGTAAATTATGCCATCAATTGTATACATAGACTATGATTAATAAGCTATGCCATTTAAAAAAAAAATAATGGTTTACATAAAATGGGAGTTGACTATTTGGATCTTAAAATACAGATTTTCAACAATGCCTGACCCCAGTTTTCTGTTGACTTTTTTTAATATCTATTCATGACTTCATTTATTTAGTAAAAGTTGAATCTTGCCACATAGCTATTCTTACTCCAAATTCTCAATCTTTGTCTAACAAAAAATTACCACTCTGCTGAAAATTTGTTGAAAACACTGACCAATATAAAATGACAGGAATATCATGTCTTTTAAAAAATATTTCTCCAAAATCAATCTGCATCTCACAAAAAAAGAAACAATTGGATTCTAAACTATGCATAGTTCTAAAAGCTTACTCTAAAGCATCCATTTTTAGAAATACAGAACAATTCCTCCAGCTTTTAAAATAGCTGAGACTTAATATGCCATAAAAACATACTGTAAATATTTCTGTTGCTGGAATGGTGTCTCTGTTACCACATGGAGTTGCTAGGATATTATCTGTGTCAGGAAGTTTGTTGTGCCTTCATAAAGGAAAACTAACAGTCATTTTGATGCATTATGCAAATAATATCCTGTTTTCTCAACAGATTCCTTTGCAGCAATCAAAAAAAAAATGCTCCCAGCCTTTGAGCAGATTTCTGTACTCTGCTGTTAGCTTCCCTGATTTTTTCCTACAGTAATTACAGTAGTAAATAAATCTGTTCCTAACTGAATTTAGTGCTTGAGATCATACTGCAGACACATCTCAGCCTTTCAAGTTCAGAAACAGGAAAAATGTTTAAAATGTTTAAAATAAATAATTTTTGTCACCAAAATTATGTTTAGAAATGACTGCTAAACTGTCACCTCTGTTTCACTGATGGTTATTAAGTATGATGTGTTTAACAGAGGAGCAAAGTGATGAAGCTCATGACTGTAAAAGAGAAATTTGGTTGCAAAACTTTTCTGCCCCTCTTGTTTCTGATACCTTAGAAGAACTAGTGATAGAATTAAACATTATTAAAATACTCATAATAAAAAGAGGAAGTTGTTTTCTCTTTAAGATACATAATTTATGCTTGACTTGTCTTTAAAGTTCCCAAGGTGGTTTTAGTTTTGCTGGGTTTTTTTCCAGTATCTGCAGGAAATCACTTCAGTCCAGCTTAACTCTAGGCAAGCCACAACTTTGCTGTGCTGAGTTTCAACTTTGCCATTTATTTAGGTGTTGTTTTAAAGGGTCATTTAATTCCTCCCTCATTCCTGGCCATTATTTTGATCTTTGTTTGAACAAGGACTGAATGGAGGTTAAAGCCTCCAAATTATGGCTACAGTTCCTTGTTAGAGAAAACAGTGACACTGGTATTTGATTAAATGTGTAGGATATAAACTGTAGGCCCAAAATCCAACCAAATGTACTTCAGTTTTTTGGAGCTTAACAAGCCTTTAAGCTCCTGTTAATTGTTTGCATTGCTTGGTGGTGGTCAGAAGCGAAGCCTCTGAGCTGCACCAGAACATTCAGTGCCCTGTTTCTGACCCAGCAGGGTGAGGAAATGTCAGCATGATGAGAAGGTCTCAGGAGATCTGCAGTGTGAATTCCAGGCAAAAGTTATTCAAACAAGCATGAAGTGGATTTTGTACAACCTATTTTAGTTTGACTCATTACTGATTTGGGTTTTTTGACAAACATTAAAAAATTGAAAGGGTGAAAGGAAGTGTTTTCCTGAGAAAATCAAAATGGAAGCTATGGTAAACCTTTTTTTATCCAGCACTGGATTTAAGGTTGAGCAATAGCACAGTGGACTCATTATATTTGTTCTTTAGAATAAGGGAACTGTGAAGAAGAATTAGACATCTTCCTAAGATTTTTTCTTTAATTATGCAAAAACAAGCTAGGAAAAAAAATCCTGTATCAAAATGTATGTCCTAAATAGTTTTCAGTTTAATGTCATGTGTAGAAAATTATTCCCATATTTTGGCAATATGTGACTAATATTGATTGGTAAATCAGAATTATCAGATGTTTTAAAGCCACTTTTAAAGCCATTGCACAGGACCCCTTCAGCAATGAAATAAAGTTAAGGATGAAAAAGAGAGAGATTAATTATTATTTCATCAGAGGAAAAACACTCTAAATGTAATTAGCATTTATATCACTGATATATTTGCAAAGAAGTTAAGTATGAAGTATTTATTTTAAAACATGCATAGGCATAAGGATGGAACTCTGAAGCACTCACAGATCTACAAAGCTATTTTTCTTCTATTTAACTCTAAATTTTTAGTGGGGTGATAGCAGCATTGAATAAAATATACATACTGCTGTATTTAGGCAAAATATTAAATCACAGACAGGGAAATGAAACATAAAAATAGATATTCACTATAATTCAGATGGAGAAACAGTTCACATTTGCAAAGCCATTTGAACAGGACACATGACAACACCATTACAGCATTAACATTCGCACAGCATGTAACTAATTTTAGCTGAGAATACTATGGACAACTATGATTTTCTAGGCCTGAAGGTTTTTAATGAAATCATTTAACTTGAAGAGTTTGAGAACAGAATGTATTTTGAAGGATTGAAGTGTGGCAATAATAACATCATGCTGATTATGACTTTCAGGGAGTCTAAGCATCACTGCTAATTCCCAGAAAGTATCACCCATTACTTTTAAATAGATGGCCCACTTCTCATGATGTAAGGAATGAAAAATAGAGGAATAACCTGGGGTTTTCTTCAGCTCTCCAGACAAACAGAGCTGCATTTCAGCTGTTTGCCATTGAGCTGCTCTCAGCAATTACTAAATACCAGCCCCCCAGCTCTGTTTACCTGATATTCTCCTTCGACCAAGACTGCTTGGCACCTCTACTTTAGTTCAAAAAGTGTGAAATCTTGATCTGAATCCCCCCATTTCTCTAAATGGCTGAAACAAGTGTCTCAGTTTCAATGGTGATTCCCACTAAAATACAAAACAAAGCTCAGACATCTGCTGAAGGCTAGAAGGACCTGACTGACCTTTTTGTAGTGGAAGATGTATTGATCCTTTCTGAAAATGAGAATCCACTTGGAGAGCAAAGAGTGTCAGCAAAACCTTGGTTTGTTTTGGTACAGTGTCTGCAGCACAGTGAGAGCAACTGCAGCTCATCATCAGATTAGAAAATTTCCAAAACAGTTCTGTGCAGTCTTTTTAAATTAAGTAGATACACATTCTCATTTCCTCAGGGAAATGCACTTAAAAGGAGGTCTCTTTGCAGTGGGAAGAGAAAGGCAATTTCTAAGGCTGAGAAGAAGGAGAAGAGGGAATATCAACTGCCACCTAAGCTTCAAATGGAATTTTCCTGCGTGGCAGGTTGCTCTTAGATTTGTTGAATCCCAGGTTTCTGCTTTTGAGTAAAAGGACTGACTGCAGGGTAAAAACGTCCGTATTTATGGTGTGATTTGAAAACAGACTCAGTGTCAGAATCTCCTTCTGCCCCCACTGGTATGTGTATAACAATGTTTAAGGATGAACAACAGGGACTAAGTTCAGGAATCCATACCTGGACAACACTTCTGCCAGTATTTTAACTTCAGTAAGAAATCCAGATTGGTGATTTTATCTGAGCTGTGTAAAGGTCTGACAGTGAGATACAAAAACAGATTAAGTTTATCCAATTTCACATTTTCTCACTGTCTAAAGAGGCGGACTAAAAAAAAAAAAATAAAAAAAAATTTAGAAGCACTGGTGATCCTGAATGAAGTTTTGAATTCCAAAGCTGGCTTGTCTTCCAGGCTTGGGAAAAAGGTGCAAAACAATGTGCAAAATCTTCAACCCTGAGCAAAACTCAGTCCTAATCAGTAGATGTAAAACAGCCTTGTACCAGAGACTGTGCCTGAGTTCCCCCTGTTCTGGTTCCTCCATGTAGATAAATATACTTTGTTAGAGGCCTATGCACCACAGAATTAAAATCCAACGAGGCAGGACACAGAAAGTAAGAAAAACTCCTTGTTTTACTCGTGGGAAGAGGAAACCCAGCTAAAGACCTGTTTAATTCCATGCAGGAATCTTGTGCACCTGAGAAGTGAAGTCCATTTTCCTGAGTCCTTAGCCAAAGCACCTACCTATTGCCCAACTCATTTTTCAAAATTAAGAATAGTTTTATTGAAAAATGGCAATGATGATGCCCAAATATGATTGGTGTTTCTGAGAGTGTTCAATCTAAGCAGACCAAGAATAGAGAAAGATACGGGCACAGAAAGATAATAAATCATATATTACATGAATAACAGGAATTAGGTCCTCTGAGTACAACTGCCCTGCTATCCTTTTGTTTTTCCCTGCAGCTTTTGCTGTACTTTTGGGATTCCTTGGAGAATCAAGGCCTGGAAACTCCCATGGGCCAGCACTTCAAGGAGAGCCTAAGAATCTTGAGCAGCCTGTGTACAAAAAAGTCCAGGTTTCTTACAGTTTCACTCTGAATACTGACCATATTTTATACTCACTTCCTACAGATTTGATTATATTAATTCAGCCCATTTATACTGTAAAGCAGCTCCTTCATACGCACTGTTTTCTGGAACCTGGGTGTTTTCAAAGCATAGCTCATCTTATGTGACAGAAGTAATAAAAGCTTTTATTTTAATGCTCTTGGTTAAAGGTCTTACAACTGTTCAGTCAAGCCTATAGCTTGCCTTGACTTTAGAAACGCTCCTGGACTTGCAAGAGCAACCCCTAATTATCAGCTGCTGCTAATAACAGAAGAAACATCTTTGGCCAGGGATTTGGCAGGATCCTCCCCTGGTGTGGTGGAGCTCTACAGTGAGGGTAAAATTCACATCCTTGCACGTCTCCCCATCTCCTGGTGATTTCCCAAGCAGCTGGGCCTATCCTAAATGTCACAACCCTCCAGATAAAGTTCAGGGAGCATGTCTGGGATGTTGGTATTTCTCTAATTTACATGCAGAACTTTATGCACATGTTGAGGGGGAGGGTGTGTTATGAAACACACTCCACTGTTCCCACTTCTCCCACTGGCAAGGAGAGGAGGGAGCAGGCACATGGCAGATGTCAATGCTGTTGTTAAGCACTGGCTGCCACAGGGCACTTGGATAAAGCAACAGTGAATGGGGCATAGAAATCCATGGAAAAGCTGTACTTTTACCTCAGAGTCTACCCCACGATGAATCCCACTCGTGCCACTGGCTCACACGCCCAGGCAGAGGCTCTGCAGTCAGAAAATGAGAAAGAAAAGAGCTCAGACGGAAGTGTCAGGGTAGTCATTTTCTCACAGGACTCTTTCTGGCAGCTGGAGACAGTGGTTCTGTGACAACACATTGGAGTTTTGAAGGGGGATTCCTCCGGAATGGAAATGTCCTCAGCAGGACCATTTCCGTAGCTGTGCTCAGTCCTGTGGGAAACTCTTACCCTATGACGAGTTCTTCTAAACTAGATTGGATTTATATTTATTCTTAAATTGTCTTTTATTTTTGGCACCTCCCCCACTGCTGGCTTGACATCTCAGAAACGAGACCCTTCAGATTCTCAGAAGCCAGAAATGCTGCTGACAAAACTAATTCAGAACTGTCTTCATCAGCTCTACTCAGTTGATAATGTTTTCTTTCCATTCACTTATTCCCTCTTCTGCTAATTCTGGAACAGTTTTGGTGCACTTAAAAGTAATTAAGACCATGTTGCTGGACATACATAATCCAAATTAAGAGAGGAAAAGACCTAGCTGCTTAACTTGATCCTAGTTCTTGAGGTTTGGCTTTTGCATGGCAAGACTTAGAGACAGGTGCTGAATAAACCTTGTAAAACAACCAAAATTTGGGGATATAATTCTGAATGCATTTTGTTATTTTTGGGGTACCTTAAATTTGTGTCTAGAAGGTTTTATTCACCCCCCTGAATTTCAGTCATAATTTATCTCAGCTATGGCTGTAATGGCTCATGGGGCATTAAGCTGCTTGTTACAGCGGTTTTTTTCCTTCCCCTGCAGACACTGCAGTCTCAGTCTGAGACCTAAGAATGAGCCTGGATTCATTTCTAATTGCACAGTTTCACAAGAAAGAACTTGCCAGTTTGCCCAGTGTCTTCAGTGATATTTCTTAATCTCATTAATCCCTGGAACTGTATTAATGTGAAGTGTACCCATGTAATAGACCATTCTGCTGATTATGTGCAGTGTATTGAGAGATTTTAGATCAATATTTTCATTTCACTGGTTGTTCCCATTTGGCAAGAATGACAAAGGGTAAAGTCTGCCTCTCCTGTATGGAGCAATTCTACACACTGACATTTTTCCAGACATTTCAAACACAAATATAACCTTATATTTTGTTCTCCACTTGACCCATAAGTCCTTCAGTTTCCACCCAAGGGTGAGAATTTGGTGACTCCAGGTGTTAAATTTCCCACCAGACTCTTCAGCTGCGTTCAGTACCAGCAACAGGAAAAGCTGACAGAAAAATTAAAGGACTCTTTTAAAATATGAAGTTTAATTCCCCCCAGGGTGATAAAGGGTGGGGTTAGGTACTCAGAGCTCAGATTTCAAATTTATTCCAGTGGACAGGTAGTCTGAATTTTTATGTTCTAGATGTGTTTTCTCATACCTGTGTATGTAGTAAAACACAGTTAAAACAAGTTAAAATCATTGAATTCTCCTTTCTAATGTAGTTCAACTTGGAAAAACAATGCTCAGTTTTGAATTATCAAAAGCTTGAAGATGATTTCTGTTTTTTGGTTTTGGTTTTATTTTTTTTGATAGCAGTCTTGAATACTTGCCTGGCAGTGTCAGGCACTTACAGAGCCACATAATGTCTAGTATCAAAACCTCTTGGTAAATATGATCCCATACTCCTAAAAAACACACAGAACTGGGAGTTTTAAGGGAAAAGATGTATTTCACTTGGTCAGAGCCTTCCAGAATGTCTCTGTTTGGGGTGATCCCAGTTCATGAGGGGAAAAAAAGGGAGTAAATTCCAGTGCCTTTGTGCAGGGGTCTGAAGACTGTGAACTTTCTCCTTTTGCAGTGAATTTACACGGGTAGACCACCCAGCATTATTGTGTGTTGTAAAAATCCTGGTGCATCGTTACAGCACCTCTGCTCTCAGCACAGCACACTCTGCTTTGTAGGGAACTTGGATGAGCAGAGTCTATTTGGGCAAGCCATCTCTCCTCAATCTCCCGCAATTCTTTTTTCTGTGCTCCACTTTTCAGTCAAAAACATTTAGGATCCTCTCATCTAAAGACAATCCTACTTTTTGATAATTTAGCACCTCTTGGAAGCAAAGTTGCCACCCAGCTCCTGGGCAAGCAATGGCACGTGTGGTGTGAGGTGAACTCCTTCCCCCTGAATAAATGCTGTTAATGTGTGGGGAAGTGAGGTAGTGATTCATGTCTGAGCACTGTGGCCAGCACAAAGCTCTTAAAAGCTAAGTTTAGGCCAAGATTGCAACGGAAAACCAGCCTGGAAGATGGGATGCAGAGCAATGTGAGAATTCTGACACAGACTAGACTTCCAGTCACTGAATATTGTGCAATCTGAGATGAACAGAAATCTTTGTTGTGAAGCTGAAAAAAAACCCTCAGGATGGAATGCTTGTGGAATATAATGCTGCCTAATTTTGACTCTGTCAGCTGTAAAATTCATCTCCTCATTAAAAAAAAAAAAAAAAAGTTAAATAAACCAAAGTTTATGAAACGTGTGTTTGCATTTAAAACTGTTTTGCTGTTCACTCTGAGAGGACTTTGGAGACATGGCCTGTGTTATAATACACTTCCATTAAACATTGGAAGCTCAGATTTTTTTACCAAAAAATTCACACAAACATTCTGCTCTTAATCCAAACAGAGGGGTTACGAACTGAACCTTCAAACAAAAACTTTCAATATTTGGCTTCTCAGTTCAGTAGCACCAATCTGGGATGCCAACCAGCATGCACTATAATTAATAATTGTTGTTAAAAAGGGTCCTAGAGGCAGAATACCCAGTGCATATAGCTTGTCTGCTTTTTTAACCAAATAAGGGAACAGGGCATTTCACTGTTTATAATAGCAACATGAAAAACGATGTTTCAAACTGTTAAAGAAAACACTTTTAAACTTTTCCTGCCCATTTCCAAGTTTCTTCAACTTCTAAAAAAA